TTTCTTTCTATACCCTCCTACGTCACCTTAACTTCATTTCCCGCCTATACCCTCCTACATCATCTTTACTTCATACACCACCTATACCCTCCTACATCATCTATACTTCCTATACCACCTATACTTCCAATTCCACCTATACCCTCCTACGTCATCTAAACTTCCTATACCACCTATACTTCCTATACCACCTATACCCTCCTACGTCATCTATACTTCCTATACCCCCTTTGCCCTCATAATATAGACAATAGAATTGCATGTACACATAGAGATAAAACTACAAATATTTTATAAAATGAAACTCGCCATTGAGACGCACTAGTGATAAGCCTCTCTTCAATCCAGACTACCCTGCTGTCGTTACGAAAACCATCAGCCCATGCGTGCAGTGATCAAACTTAGATTTAGTTGAATTTGATTCATATATTCATATGAATAGAATGATATAAGTATGAAAATTAAATATCTAGAATATATAAATAACTAATTACTCAATTATTTTCTACTTATAATTTTACTGGTCAATTAAGGTATGTGTATAGACATGCATCCATCAATCAGCACACGACGCAGCCCAAATATTTGAATATAGATATAAGTCATTGCTAAACTTCCGACCGATTATTTCATGTATTTATCTATTTTAATTGTATATTTTTTTTCATTTTTAATTTGCAAACTTTATTATACATATGACTATTTTTTGTATTATATAAAAACATTTCAGAACTCGCATATTCTTAAAATAACCTGTACATATAGCTATCGATCGTTTTCTTAAATAACCAGCAAAACGCATATTCAACTCACATTCAACGCTAAATCTAAAACGCACATCAAACGGTCAACGCAAACGCAACGGAAACGCAACGCAAACGGAACGCAAACGCAACAGAAACGCAACGGAAAAGCAGCACACTTTTGGTAAAGAAAAACGGTCTAGGGTCTGTAGCAGTGCGGGATTCCTAGAGTGCGAAATGACGTCAGAGAAAGAATGGATTAATATATATAATGCAGCCAATAGGCGTTGTTGTATAGGAAGGTAGTCCGTAGAAATCATATGGTCCTTCAACTAATAATGTACATCAAAATGATGAATTGAATATGCATTTTGTCTATATTGGTTTGGTTTTCCATGCTTAATTAAGTATGGCTGATGATCCCCCCTACAGTAGAAATGTAAACTATCCATACTTTTAAGATAAAGAGTGCGTGGTAATTTTTGTAGTATCACCAAAAGGTATTAACTATTAAGACTTGCTTAAGTTCGGAACTTTTCTCAGCGGTAAATGTTACAGAAAAACTGAGGACATTTAATTCATCAAAATAGAATTCTCATTGACTACAAAAAAGATTTCTTAAAAAAAAAATGGAAAAAAAAAGTTGAAAATTTTATGACCTTTGACCCAACAGGGGAGATTTTAATTTGCCATTTATTTCTAATAACATGTGATTAGAAAAAGTTAAGCCCTAAAAAATATCTTCAAATGATATACTCGCATGAATGCTTTATAAAGAATGGTTTTTGAGTTATGGTGGTTTTAAGATTTTGACATATGATGTCATGGCGGCCATAATGGATTTTTGTCGTGCTTGAAAATGCTGCAATAACACCTTTCAATCATGACCTACGATATCCTTGAAATACTTTGAACATATCTGCTACCAATCAAAAGATTAGAATGCCACAAACTCATGAATCTGATGGTGAAGAGCCCCAATAAATAGAACAACACATTTGACCCCTATATGACCTACAACTCATCTCTCCACTTTGATTCTGTGTGAAAAATATTTCTATTTTCTAATTTGTTACACAGAAAAAGATTGTTCAATATTACCTGGGGGTTTTTTTTGTGTCCAAGTATAATCAAAGAACTGAGAGTCCTGAGAAAACAGCAAAATAGCACGGTTTTGACTTTCACTTTTGAAATTACTTTTAGGATAGGTCAAGATCATTCATTTACACAAAGTTCAAATCCCTTCATGAAAGCATGCTTCTTGCCAAATATTGTCACCCTGGGATTATTGAATTATCAAAACTTTTTCGAAATATTCTTGATTAAAGTGTTTTTTTCAACATTTGACCTTTGTGACCATGATGGTTGATCAAGGTCAACCATTTATTCAAACCTGATAGCTGAACATCTCAGCATCTTGCATAGCAAATATCAAGACTCTAGACCCTGTAGAACTCAAAAAGTTTTTTTTAAATTTGTTACCCAATATAGTGCATTTGAAATTTGACCCCTACCGAAAACCAAAACAATATGAGAGAAAAAGTTTGCTGTTGCATATCTATATTTTATATTGAAAGATCAACTTTATGCTTGATATCTTTAATGAAATATATTGGTATATGCTATTAACCAATCAGAGCCAAGCTGTGGCGGCCATTTTGAAATTCCAATTGCTCCAAAAAAGTTTGTAAGGGCCCCCAGAGGAAGACATACCAATTGTGGTTAATATTGCAATTAAATGCAGAATTGGAGAAGCAGATCGTTGAAATTGGTTAATAAAGTTGTCGGTTTTTCGAAAAAGATCACAGACAATAATGAACACGTCATATGATAGTAATAGGAAATGTTTCAGAAACAACAAAATATATCAAATTGATCCAATGGACATTTACTATCAATTACGAAAAGAATTTTCCAAAACAAATGAAAGACATGTCAAAATATCAAGGATCTGCAGTCATTTAGGCGAAAAGTCTGTGACTAGATTTGTGTATAATAATAAAATACATAACAAAAACAATAGATCTTTTCACCAGCTGTTAAAAAGACCTTACATATAACAAACTCATGTTCAAAGATAATTACCTGGACAATAAAAAAGGGGATATTTAATGGTTTCCTGAATATCATATCTGATATACATTTAAAAATTTCATATCTTTGATTCAAGCTGATAGAATCTTACAATTGGCTAGATCAATGTCAAGTCAACAGCCATGTGACTGGACTGTAAATGATGTACATGCAAAATTGATTATCCAGCCAAACTCTTAACCGCCTTATCCTGTACGAGCATTCATTGATTCAATAATTTCAGAATTTCTTCCTTGCAAACATTTGATCACAATATGGGACCATACACAAAACATACCACTGATAGTATACTGTGAGGATTTTTGATGCAACTGCTTATTAATTATATGCTTACATGGCAGCTACCTGCTTGGTTTAAAAACAAAAATATACTACCAAAATGGACATTTCTGGCAGATTGTAAACTCCCTTGTGTCTGGCATTTGCATCACTTGATTATTTACTTGTTTCATCAAATTTTCTGCATAACATACAGCAAATATAATGTAGGGTCTCAATGAACAGTTTAAGTCGCCCAAAAAAGTATTTCTATGTGGTCTTCAGCTTCACTTCAGCTCATTTGACACTCAGTTTAATGTAATTTTCATTTCACTGCTGACGGATGTAATGCATAAAATTTACCTCCTGTATAAAAGGTATCAGGATACTTTTTATTCTACATAAAAGTATCCAGAAACTGTTTGTTACGGGTTACATTTTATGCATGAGACGAGTAATATTGTGCACCTCAGGAAATAACATTCTTGTGGAGAATAAATCTGTCAAAAGCACTTTTTAAAACATATAATAGGTTAAAAAGAAAAACTGTTTTGAAATATTTTAAAATATGATTCTGATAACTGTTCTAAAATGTAAAATAAAAAAACACTATATATATCTGTGTTTTCTGTATATTGTGTTGTCCCCTATAATCTTGCACATCTTCTAGATCTGACTGACTGTTTCAGTGTGTACTTTAAGCTTGCCTTATTTTAGTACAGGGTATATTAGTATAGCATGTTGGACCTCTTATCCATTATAAAGGTGCTTGACTTGATTAGCCCAACCCTTTAATTTTGCATAAAAATTGGTGACTTTAGCAAAGCTAGCTAGTATTTAAAGTATGCAGATATTGATGCACAAGATATCACAACACAAGATTACCAGACCTGGCTATATTTGTACATTTGATATGTTACTGGTCACTGCTCACCATGTCTTTTCTGGCAGCTTCCATAAATTGTACAAATTATTTTAGACAACGTTAAAACTAGTGCCAAATTCTTTATTTCTTCAATTTGAAGCACTGATATATAGGGACAATGATGGAAAACATTTAGTTTCTTCTTCTTTACAGTTTCACCAGACCTTCTTGGCATAGAAGATTACCTGGAGTGTGTGGGGGTTGCAAAATTAGTTTATTTTTATTTTATTTTTTGTTTTTGTTTTGTTTTTGTTGTTATTTTGGATTTAACATAAAACCATATATACATAAGTAGTATTTAGTGTAGGACTAGGAGAGGTGCGAGTACAGCTGGAGTCAACTGATATCTGAAGGTGTCTACAGTAGCACTCTCTTCAATGGTTGCAGGAAGACTATGGTGCGCGGAAAGAAGGACCATTTAAGGGTGTCGTTTGTTGCGGATATATATATATATGTGTGAAGTTTTGATCATTTGATTTTCTGGTTCTACTGTCAATAGGAAAGAGAATATCAGTTGTAGGAACAGCAATGAGGCAGTGGACAATTTTATAGAATACTACAAGTCGTTTTTTAAGACGACGTTCAGCAAGGAGTGGCCAATGGAGATTTTCTAACATTCCTGACACATTGCTTGTATTATGGAAGTTATTGCATACATATCTAGCTGCACGTCGTTGAACCATTTCAATTCTGTTTGGATTTCGTGGTGTATGGGGGTCCCATACGCAAGTACCATACTCATGTTTGGGTCACACAAGTGACTGGTAAGCTTTGGCCTTGAGGTATTTGTAGTCTGAGTTTCATCTGGCCCTGACACCAGACTTTGACAGATGGATGTTACCAGATATTTATCTGTCAAAATGTCAAAGTCTGGTACATGTCAGGGCCAGAGAAAACTCTGGTTAAGGTATTTGGAGCTGTAACATTTTTGGAACTGTAACTTAATGTTGTTATCAAATCTATAAATTAATTCTATTTACCGGCTTAAAGAGCATCTGTGACAGTTTGGAACGCTTCTGGAAAGACAGCTCTCCCCTTTCCCTTTTCTCTAGGAAATCTTTCAAAGTATCCTGTAAACAATAGTTATTGTTATTGTAATATAATGCTTTAAAGGAGTTGTTATGCTGTCAGTACACTTTAAAATAAAAGTTTTGCATGTGTCATATCATTCACATATACTCTACAAACAATATAATTTCCAAGCTGGTAGGAAATGTAGTGACTTGAAATTAAAAAAAAACCACTTGAGTGTCCACTGATAAGGTCGAATTCAGGTCGTTTAGGTACCTGGTCGTTTAGGTACCCGGTCGTTTCGGTACTTCTAAAAGTCGTTTCGGTATTTCTGAAAGTCGTTTCAGTACTTCTGAAAGTTGTTTCGGTACTTCTGAAAATCGTTTAGGTACTTATGGAAAACACACTCTGGTACCAAGTTTTAGTCAACGTCACCACATTTTGCGTGCTGTATACCTTCAAGGGAAGTAACTCTAAGTCAAACTTGTGCTATAATATATGTGTTTGTATCAGTTTGTTATTTTGATTTGCGCATGTTTCTAATATTCTAACATGTTTAATTAATAAATAGCTAAGTATAGCAGGACATATAATATGTTTAATTCATATTTCAATATTCAATAATTTCTAAGTATAACGGGACATATATATAATGTATTAATAATAATAAATTAAGAATAATAATAATACTAAAACACATAACAATAACAATAGGTATTTCCATCCGAAATGGAAATCCCTAATTATTAGCTAAGCCTAACGGGACATATATATAACATATATGTTTAATTCATATTTCAATAATTTCTAAGTATACATCTGTAGCAGGACATATATATAACCGTCATTTTTATGACAAGTTGGTGAATTCCTCAACGTTGAGCTACTCCGATCTACTCATTTGAAGTTTGAAAACAATGATTGACTGATCTGCTGGATTGTTTTAACAACTACGAAAGCAAACGTTAAATAAACAACCAACAATAAATAATATTTATCAACTAATAAACGAAGTACCGAAAATAAACAACCAACAATAAATGACAAATGAGAAATGTTTATGAACTAAAAAAACGAAAAAATCGTTGAAGTACCGAAACTACTTACAAAAAGTACCGAAATCTCTTATTTTTGAAGTACCGAAACTACCGTGTACCGAAACGACTGTACCCCATAAGGTCACACGTATTTCATTTTTGCAGTCTTTCTGTTTTACATTAAAATAACAAAAAATAATTGTGTAATGACCATGACGATGCTATAGAATCCGCCTATTTCTCTATAAAATGACAATGAGAAGTCCACTGTACAGTGCTACTTCAAGCAATGCGAGTATCGCCTATCATGTCCATGACCATATCAGAAATGTCTGCCGAGTATAAGCTTGAGAAGTTACTGTACTTATATCTATCACGCGTGTTCCAATTAAATAGAGTATACCTCTTCTAACTGGATATCTTCATTCCAATTTCCAACCCGCACAGATGGGTTATACGTCCTGACATTCATTTCTGGGGTCTACGATTAGCTTCCAATCAGCCTAGTTGCACACACGTTCCCACTAGGCCTAACAGGGGCAATTGATGTTTACCTTGACAACTGCAATCCAACAGTGAATATAAAGTAATGCTTGTTACAATTCATCGACAAATAAATATATATATATAATACTTATCAATTTTATACCTATATTATTCAAAATATTAGATACGTTAATCATTTCTTTCCTTATTTATAATTAAACACTTTGTTAGTCTGCGAACCTAAAATGATGAAGTAAAAAATAAAAACACCGTAGACTGTGAATGATATCCGGAATTGTCCTGTTCTATGATATAATGCAGTATAACCAATGGTATAATTTCTTTGCAATGATGCAGTTTGTCAATATAGCAAGAAATAGTTTTAAAATGTGGTAACAAAAAGAGAAGTTTTCATTTTTTTGCGACCGGTTAACACAACATTTTATGTTATGAAATTTTCTGATGTTCCGGTTGGTTCGTTAAAGAATCTTCCTCGCCGCCTCCTAATTGTAGTTTAGAATATTGTATTTTTTTCTTGATCGTAGGCCTGGATTTGTTTAATTGATTAGTTAAACATATGACATTTTATAGGAAAGTATTTATATGCCTAAAGTAATTTTGTTTTTGCATATTCAATTATGTGACATATTTCAATATTGTATCAAATCTCGTTAAATCGCGTGTCTACGTCAAAATATTTCTTCCGCCATATTTGTTGTTGGTAAAGCGGAAAGGAAGTTGTCTCCAGAATATTTGCCAATATTAAAAACCTGGGTTTACATTTGGTGACAACAATGGCAAGCAGGTCAAGTGGCCTTGTTCAACGCAAGGTTGTGCCATCACATGGAGCTGAAGGTGGAAATGAAAACCGAGAAGATAATGATAATTATCAAGAAGACGATGAAGATCATGATTCAAAGGAAACACGTCTCACTCTGCTTGAGGAAGTTCTGCTATTAGGACTAAAAGACAGAGAGGTCTGTTCTTACTTTAAGTGCTTTATTTTCTTACAAACTTTTAGTGGAAATGCATATAATGTTTGCCTTTCGTACATTGTCTGAACAATCGATGAATTTTGATCATTCATCGATACGAAATCGTCTACGTCATCTAACCAAAGTCGTAGGGTCGTGTTGACATTGATTGGAAGATATGAAAGCTTTATTTTAATTCTGTATAGTTACAAACGAAAAAAACATAAGCTCTAATGAGCTTTTAACCGAATAGATATAAATTTAAGAAACGTAAGATATAACCTTCCAAACAGATTAGTTTGTTGCAAATGTCTGAAATACACATATATTATAACCTTATATAGGTTAACGGGGGTCCAGCTAGGATTTGAAAAGGGCATGGCAGTGCCGAGTAAAGGGGCTCATTTAGCTGCAATAACGTAGCTTTTTATATATTGCGTCGTCAGAGCTACGAAGCATTCCTATGCCAACTAATGGTGTAATAATACATATAATTCGCATCTCATATATATGAGTGTAATGTTATCATAATATTGCTTAATTATTGAAAAACGAATCCTTACCAATGCAAAAATCTCTTTCACCAAATTAGGCAAGTCTGTCGGTCACCCATAAAAGCGTCTTCAACCGACAACAAGCGTAGACATTCAAGTGACAGCAAGCGTCGTCAGACAAAATCTTGAAAAAATAATGAATAAAATAAACGACATCAGAAGATATGTAATTGTTAATATGACTATAATACACCTCTAACTGATAAACCCAATTTCAATGTGATATTTGAAAAATTGACCCGAGTTATGATGAATTGAATTTTTACGATCGGCAGCATGGCACATGGGTGTCATTAACCTGTACTGTTGAGAAAGTGTCACCAGACAATATTTATACATTCTTACTAAAGTAAGCGACATCAGGGGATATGTTATTAAGACTTGTATGTACCTATATACCAAAATTCATGTAGATATTTGAAACAATGACCGAGTTATGATGAATTGTTTTTTACGATCGGCGTCGTGGCCCACGTGTGTGTGACTATAAATCTACAGATCGTGAAGCATCTTTAGACTTTACCTCTAAAATTAACCTATAAAGTATGCAGACATCAGAAGATATGTTATTCATATATATGATTATAACACACCTATATACAAAGTTAAAGATAGATATTTGATCAAATGACTTGAGTTTTTGGTGATTTTTTGGGTTTTGACCATTTACAGAACAAATTCATACAATTTCTTCCAAGTGTGATATCAGATATGTATGAATGTTTGTAGAATTGATGAAAATGTTATTTTCTTTTAAATTATGAAATTAAAATTTCTTAATCTTATTCTTTTAACTCATGATCAGAACGCCGATTTTAGTTACCCCTACCCCCTATTTTTGTGTCGCCTGCGAAAAGCTGGTGACACATAGGTATTGCTATGTTGGCGTCGGCGTCCACACAGAGCTTTTCGTGCGATAACATGAGTTTCCTTGGGCCGATCAAACTCAAACTTCATGCAGTGCCTTCTTACCAAAAGGGCTTGCTTGGGATTGCTTTTCAGGTCCGAAGGTCAAGGTCACTGTTACTTTAAATAGAAAATCTGTTTTCGTGCGATAACTTGAGTTTCCTTGGGCTGATCAAACTCAAACTTCAGTCAGTGCTAACCATACTTGCATTTTCAAGAATTTTTTTATGATCCACTCCCGTGGAATTCTTGTTTAGTGAAAAAATACTATTTTTTTTACCATTTTTTGCAGATTTAACGCTTGATATAAAAAGTTCTGATTTTAAACTTTTTTTAATATTTAATGAATTAAAAGAAAATGTGTTTCTCTTTCTAATACATCCACAAAAATGGGGGGTTCATGTGCTTCTTTTTTTGTCCCATTATCATTTGTGTTATTTTTTTACCTTTTTCGGGTCAAAAATCAAAAGTGCTTCGGTTAAACTAAAAATGTAAAAAAATATCAATAAAATATCATTAATGTATAATTTTCCAGTTTGTTGCATTTAATTTTTATCATATTGAACATTATAAAGTTGTACAGCAAAATTGAACCTGCTAAAAATGGCGACACAATGACAATTTAAGTGATCAATCTAGTGTCAAAAATAATGAAATTTTGGCCTTTTTTGAAGCGCAAGAAATACACATTAAAACCCTTTAAGCCCTGATAATGCATTAATGCATCACCAGGCCTAGGCCGAATGATGCATTAATGCATCACCGGGTCTGGGACGAATGATGCATTAATGCATCATGGAAGTGGAAATATTTTGAAACAATTTTGAGTTGATAAAATATGCATATAAAATAATTTGTTTGTTATTATATGTGCCTGAAATCATAAATAGGCATTAAATGATTAATTTCAAACATATATTTGGCTTTAAAAGCACATTACGTCCAGGTATTTGAATTTCTGCTCACAAGAACTTCCGGTCGGACGGGAGCAAGTGAAAGAATCATTCCCGCAATAATTTTCATAAAGAAAATATTTTGTAATGCTGGTTCCAGAGCTTTCTAATGTTAAATACATCGCTGTTCAGTTAAACGAACTTATTGGATTTTGAAATGAATTTTAAAATCAGTATGTAATAAAATTATTGTGCAAAACACTGGTGCATCACATCACGGACACGGGAGAAAATATAACATTGAACAGTGCCATTCTACATGCCAGCATTTATGACTGAATTTTTGTTATCAATCCAAATTAAGTTCTGAAATTATGAATATGAATTGATATGCATATTCTGTTTTTTTGTTGTTGATATTTTTGTTGAAACTCTATAAACTTGAAACATCAGTCGATTGACGATTACTCTATACTATATATAGTAACAGTCAGAGATCACATGATCAAGATTCATTCAAGATGGCAGTGAATAAAATCCTAATTCCTGTTGTTGTTTTATTAGCTATAAGTCCAGAGTGAAATGAATCGTCAATATGTATTAATATATCTTTGTTAACTTATTTGAATAAAAAAAAAAAAAAGAACAAATGATCTACAATATGTTTCTAAAAGTAAGTAAATATATATACATGTAACTACCTGCTAGTCTATCATGCAAAAGAAAAACTCTACATTTCTGTATACGAACTGAAACTGTCGAAAAAAATTATAAATGTTTATTATCCAATCAAAATTATCATTTACATGGGTAGGTTTCGTCAGGGGTCAAGATATGATTATCTTTATGTATAGTAGTTCTTTATTATTTAATAAACTATGCATATATAGGTCTCTATTGCAAACCTTCTTTAACTAATACATGTACCTGTGCCTTGTAGCTATTATGGACAACCAACCTTACAGGTACAAAATTAAAGGCTCTATCCTGGTTTACTGACTCATTAATTGATGCTTGGGTGCGATATCAATTTGTGTCAAAAATTCAATACAGAGTTTATATGTATTTGTTGTTGGGGGAGGGGGAGGAGCTTAGAACAGTGTTTATATATACCAAACTAGAATAACCAGTCAAGAAATAATAATCAATTTAGAGTTAAGCTTATAACCTGAAGCATGCAATACTGATGTGCACATTATGGTTACATTGACGGAGCTTTGGAATGTCATATAATTGGTCACCACAAGATTGACACAGATGATTTTTAGCTCACCTGCCCGAAGGGCAAGTGAGCTTATGTCGTGGTGGGGCGTCCGTGGTCCGTCCGTCCTCGTCCGTCAACTTTTCCTTTAAACAACTTCTTTTGAAGAACGGACAGGCCTAGAGTCATGATATTTGGCTGAAAGCTTTGTTGGTAGGAGCCCTACAAAGTTTGAGAACGAAAATGACCTTGACCTACTTTAAAGGTCACAGGGGTCAAATATGTCAAAAACTTCAAACGACTTCTTCTGAAGAACTAAAAGGTATAGAATCTTCATATTTGGCTGATGGCTTCCTGGGATGGAGCTTAACAAAGTTTGAGAATGAAAATGACTTTGACCTACTTTCAAGGTCACAGGGGTCAAATATGTCAAAAACTTCAAACGACTTCTTCTGAAGAACTAAAAGGTATAGAATCTTCATATTTGGCTGATTGGTTCCTGGGATGGAGCCCAACAAAGTTTGAGAATGAAAATTACCTTGTTCTACTTTCAAGGTCACAGGGGTCAAATGTGTCAAAAGCTTCAAATTAATTCTTCTGAAGAACTGAGAGGTATAGAATCTTTATATTTGATTGATGGCTTCCTGGGATAGAGCCCGACAAAGTTTGAGGAAGAAAATGACCTTGACCTTCTTTCAAGGTCACAGGGGTCAAATGTGTCAGACACTTCAAACGACTTCTTCTGAACAACTGAAAGGTATAGAATCTTTATATTTGGCTTGTAGCTTCCTAGGAAAGAGCCCAACAAAGTTTGAGAATGAAAATGACCTTTACCTACTTTTAAGGTCACATGAGGCAGATATGTCAGACACTTTAAATGACTTCTTCTGAAGAACTGGAAGTTATAGAACCGTAATATTCGGCTGGTTATTTCCTGGGAAAGAGCCCAACAAAGTTTGGGAATGAATGTGACATTGACCTACTTTCAAGGTCACAGAGGTCAACAACGTTTTAATGGATTTGTTCTTAAGAACTAAAAGGAATGGATTCATAAGATTTGGCTGGTAGCTTTTGGAATAGAGCTTACCAATTTGAGAAAGAAAATGACATTGACCTACTTACAAGGTCACAGGGAAAAATATGTCAAGCAACTTCTGAAGAATCAAAAAGCATAGAATCTTGTTATAATATTTTGCTGGTAGTTTCAACAGATGGAGCCAACAAAGTTTGCGAGGGAAATATTTTTATTGCAATATAATATTTAATGAGAATATTTTGCTATGACTGCTTTAATATTCAGGTGAGCGATACAGGCCCTCTTGGGCCTCTTGTTTAGTCAAGGCAAGGGTGCGCGTGGGTGTAACATGCGCTGGTGCACGTGACACCCCTTTGGATCTGCCTCGGCTCTATATGACTGTCTCACACAGGATCACCTCCCTGGCAATGGCA